TTCTAAGGGTGTCCTTGGGCAGGGTACTTAGATCAGGTCTGTGACCCTACCCTAGGTACATGACCCCATCAGCGGCCGCCCGCTTTGTACCTCAGGGAGTTGTGATGTAAAACCACTCCTGTTGCCATAAGTCAGAAGTTTCTGTGAAGGAACCCTTTGGCCATGGGGCGTCGGCGCCTTTGCTTATTATAGCGCCTCCGCACTCCGTGTGACGCCCGTCAATCACCTTAGGCCTCACATTGAAGGTCTTGAGCCATAGGCCGAAGTGGATGGTGATGCGAAGGAAGGCTTCACACACGACGATAAACGACGAGATGTGAAGGATGGAATCCGGAGCTAGATCGTGGAAATCTAGCCCGTAATAGAACATGAGCCCTCTCACAAAGGGATCAAGACTAAACCTAGCCCTCGAAGGAAGTGAAATAAATACGACACTCTCGTTGGGTTCGGGAGTAGGGATGACCTGCCCTTGAGCAGGCAGCCTGTGCGGGATTTCAGCGGTGAGATACCTGGCCTCCCTGAGCTTCTTGATGTCCTCCTCTGTGACAGAGGAGGCCATCCACCGGCCTTGAAGGTTGGATCCGGACATGGTTGAAGGTCTGAAGTGCTTGGCTTGAGCCTTGGGTGTTGGAACTCGAGGTGCGGGAGGGGAAGGATCGAGCGTGGGATGAAAAGGACAGGCCTTGGCCCCCTTATAAAGAGGACGAATATCAAGCGTCCCCCGCGTGACCGTTTCGGACTTGCCTAAAATCGAGGAGTCATATTAAACAAGCGCGGTTGGGTTACCCACACCTGTATTGATGAGAATCCCGTGATAAGGGGAACACGATCTCTGCTTCGACAAGACGTGCCAAATAAAACCGCCTGGCAGCACGTGTAATGGCTAGTGGAGAAAAACGGTTCGAATAATGACCGGACCATGGCGTGATTTCACACTATGAAAAGTTGTCAGCAGATTAGATTTGTGGAATATTGTGCTCTCTACGGTGGTATGTGGAATTTGTTTTGTAGAGCCGGACACGATTCTTGTGTTCAAAATCTTCTATGGAGTATTCGGAGAAGGAACTCGCCTTGCAATGCCGAAGACAATCTGCATGCCAGACTTATCGCCATTGAAGCCTGGTTCAGGGGCTACTGAGGGAGTCCGAGATTAATGGGTCCACGGACGGCCGGACTATATACTTTGGCCGGACTGTTGGACTATGAAGGTACAAGATTGAAGACTTCGTCCCGTGTCCGGATGGGACTCTCCTTTGCGTGGAAGGCAAGGTTGGCAATTTGGATATGTAGATCTCCTTCTCTGTAACCGACTCTGTGTAACCCTAGCCCCCTCCGTGTCTATATAAACCGGAGGGTTTAGTCCGTAGGACAACAACAATCATAATCATAGGCTAGCTTCTAGGGTTTAGCCTCTACGATCTCGTGGTAGATCAACTCTTGTAATACTTATATCATCAAGATCAATCAAGCAGGAAGTAGGGTATTACCTCCATCGAGAGGGCCCGAACATAGGTAAACATCGTGTCCCCCGCCTCATGTTACCATTAGCCTTAGACACACAGTTCGGGACCCCCTACCCGAGATCCACCAGTTTTGACACCGACAACCGCCCCCAAGGGTTGCCATTTGTACGGGTTCGGTGACCGCCCTCAAGGGTCCCTTAGTGGAATCACGGAATCTTGCATTGTGCGAGGGCATGAGGAGATTATGGTGGCCCTAGTGGCTTCTTGGGGAGCATTGTGCCTTCACACCGCTCCAAACGGAGATTAGCATCCGCAAGGGTGTGAACTTTGGGATACATCGTCGTCTCCGCGTGCCTTCGTTATCTCTTACCCGAGCCCTTTACTTATGCATTTTAATTTGTGATAGCCATATTGTTTCTTGTCATATATCTTGCTATCACTTAGTTGTTTACCTTGCGTAGCATAAGTTATTGGTGCACATAGGTGAGCCTAGTTGTTGTAGGTTTTGTGCTTGAAAAATTAACTGCTAGGTTTATTCTGCATTTGTTCAAGCCTAAATCCGTAATTATTTTAAAGCGCCTATTCACCCCCCCTCTAGGCGACATCCTCGATCTTTCAGCCGCTGTAGCCGCTTCCACCTGAAGTTGGTGTGACCTTGAAATTCGTAGATGTACCTTTCGCACACGGGAAGCCTTCAAGCTACACCTCATCGGGCCAGCGCGCTAGAGAAGAGGCCGGAAGGACGCACCATAGAAAGCACCATCGCACTCTCTCGCGGTTGACGAAAAAGGCAATGAACTGGTGTCATACAACAACCATCCGCCCCAGATCAAAGGTGACAAAGAAGAAACCCCCATCATAAGGGATCTGACGGAAGACAAATCCGGCATCGTCGCTATACAACACAACGACAAGCAAACGTCAACAAAATACAAAATCTCACCGCTAACCGGCGAGAGGAGCACGATGGAATCACCGGTATAGGCAACGACCTAAGGTAGAGATTATTCGCCATGCCTCCACCATCCACACACCAGCGCTCGAAACCCTAAATCTTACCCTGTGCACAAGACCGACACGAGGTTCTACAGTTCCCACCGCTCCCATCGTCGAAGCGGTCGCCGAGGAGAGGGAATCGATGTGGTCACCGGCAAGCACGGGAGGAACCACGGTTGCCTTCGGTTTTGCCTCTTACGGGAAGGGGAAAGTGAAGCCAAAACTCCCTTCCATCCCTTCGATCATAATGGGCAGCCCGCAAGGCACGTACTAGCCCTGTTTTCGAAAACTTGTGGAAGTTTACTGGGCGGATTTTTTCATCTTTTTAGTTTTCTGATTTATTAGATCAGATTTATTTTATTTTATTTTTCTCTTTTTTCTTTATCATTTTATTTTTTCCTTTTTCCTTTTTATTTGTTCTTTTTTCTACTTTTAAATATTCATGAATCTTTATCAAGGCATGATTATTTTTCAAATCAATGAATGTTTTTGAATCCGTGGTTATTTTTTTCAAATATGCAAACTTTTTATTTTTTGTGAACATTTTTTTCTAAAATTATTGAAAATTTCAAATTCATGAATTATTTTTCTAAAATTCGTGAACTTTTTGAAATTCAAGATTTTTTTTCAAAAATTCATGAGCTCAAATATGTTTTTAAAATTGATGAAATATTTTCCCTCAAGATCGTGACCATTTTACTAATTCACGGAAGATGTGATTATTTTTTCAATTTCACAAAAGAAAATCATGATTTTTTTAAGTTCGTGAACTATTTGAAATACATGAACTTTTTCAAACTCATGAGCGTTTTGGAAAGACCAAGCCAACAGTCAATGAATTTTTTCCTTGTTAAAAATATTTATATTTGTATATTTTCTAAATTCAATGGTCAACTGGTCAACCAGTCAACAGGTTAATGAGGGAGCGAGGCATCTTTCGAGCGTGCAAGCGAGCTCCTTCCTATTCGGCGCTCGCTGGGGAAGTTTAGCGGGGCGGCCCAGCAACCTGCTGAGGAACTGAGGGCTATCGAAGTTGGACGTTTCCTTGAGGCAATGCACAACCCATGATTCCTAGTGGGTGAGAGCTCTTCCAACCGCCTCCTGTCGGCGCCGCCACGGATTTGCCTCGCCTCATGTCGCCTTAAGGCTATGTGTGCGTGGTGGATCTTAGCTCTTGCCAATGGGAGGGCTCCTCGTTCGTTGTTAGATGTCTTTTCGAGTCTCTTTAGGGTTTGTGTCTTGCACAGGAAGATGAGGCAGCAACAACTTTTTAAAGATGGAATAATGTTCTTCTCGTCTAGCCCCCATTTTGATGGTGCGGCTAGCATCATTCGACGGCGTGTGGAGATGTGTCTCTGGTGAATCTTGCGGGATTCAATTGGTGTTTGTCTTCGATGGCTCTCTTTGGACGTTTGATGTTCTGTTGTGCTTTTCCTTTGAGGCCTTAGCACGATGACTTTTCAAGTACCTACTACAACAAGGTTTGGCGGCCTCTAATGAAGCAAGGCCGATGACGGCGGCGCGCCTTCGGCTCCTTCGTGTGCTTGTAGTCGGTCCTAGGTGGTCAACGGATTTCAATGTAATTTTTGTTACTTTTGAAGTTGTTTGTACTGCCATGATGTTTGATGAATAAATTGGAAGTTTTTATGCAAGAAAAAACATGATGAAGAAAAGCAAACACGAAGAGAAAACTACAAAAAAAGTCCAATATCAGGAAAGCACACTATTTAAGCCTTCCTCTAGTACAACACTAAACATATACTATTATATACCAGTATTGATTATTTTAAAAGAAATTCACAAAAAAAACCATCAAATTAAAGATATTTAAAAATTGAAAAAGGTTGATGAAAAATGAAAAAGTTTGTTGATTTTGAATAAAGTTCATCTAATTTTGAAAAAAAATCACAAATTTTTAATAGTTATGAATTTTTAGAAAAGTTCATATTTTTTTAAAAGGTTTATTTTGGAAAAAAATCATCAATTTTGGAATAATAGTTCATCGATTTTGAAGAAAAAGTTCATCGATTTTGAAAAAAATTCATCAATTTCGATTATTTTAATGTATTTTGGAGAAATGTTCACAAATCTAAGAAAAGAAAAGAGAATAAAAAATAAAAGAAAAATAAAAGAAAGAACAAAAAGAGTAAAAAAGGAGCAAGTAATCACAAAGGGGTTACTGCAGTTTAGGGAGAATAGCCAGCGCTATAAGCGCTGACTAGGAGCTCTGAGAGATGCTCTAACAGAAAACACCGAAGATGGTTAGCTACAAAACTAACCAACGGCAGGACGACCTGGACAGGACGAGTTTTCTGGGACACGCGTGGCCCACGCTACAGAGACACAAGAGGGCCCACGTGTTGTTGGTGTGGCGTGTCAGCTCTCCCATTTGCTTTGCTGCCTTCGTTGGTCCACCTCCAGCTGGCCGCCCCCTTTTCAATCATCCAGCCAAATCCACCTTAGCTTCGCTTCCTCCCCGTCTACTTCTGCTCTGAACCCAAATCCCAAATCCCGAATCCCGAATCCCCAAACCCGCCGGCGATGGCTCGCGGCAGCCGCTCCGGGAGGAACGGCGGCGGCGGCGGGTGCGCGAGCTGCTGCCTGGGGTTCCTGCTCAAGTTCCTCGCCTTCCTCCAGGCCTTCGCCGCCGTCTCCGCCGTCCTCTACGCCGCCTCCATCCTCTCCCGCTGGGCGCGGCACCACGAGCTGCACTTCGACCGCCTCCTCCCTGACCTCTGGTATCATGTCCTCTGTTCTACTATCTCGCTTCTTTCCGGCCACCTCCCCTCCCCACCTGTATGCGATGTATGCTTGGCTGGCTGGCTGACTGATTCAACTTGTTGCAGGTTCGCGTGCGCCGTCATGGCCGCCGGCCTCCTCTACTGCGCCATCCTCCTCGCGGGCTACGTCGCCGCCGAGGTCAACAGCGGGTGCTGCCTCTGCTTCGTAAGACCCACACCCGCGCACCACCAAAACCCATGTCCCTTTTTTCTTTGATACAGTCCTCTTCCTACCTGTTCATTCATTGCCGCGTCACTGCTACTGATGTTGACCACAATTGTTTCAGTATACCATCCTGGCCATGGCGATGATGCTGCTAGAAGCTGCCGTGGCCGGCCACCTCCTCCTCAACGAGCACTGGATGCAGGTGGGTCAATTGGATACCCATCCATGCCCCTGTCAGTAATAGTTCCATCTGATCAAATCAGAATATCGGATCACTGACCGATTCCTCTCCTTCATCTATTATTCTTGCAGGATCTGCCGTATGACCGCACGAGAGAGCTCGAGAACCTCGTCTCCTTTGTCAACAACAACCTCGACCTCTGCAAATGGGCTGCTCTCGCTACCGTCGCCACACAGGTGCGCGACTCTGCCAGAATTAGTATATGCTTATTCTTGGTAAACCTGAACAAACATTTCCATCTCAAATCAAACGGCACAGCAAGTGCACACGAGCCTTTAAGTTGGTTGCTCCAATGGTCTCTCACAATGTCCAGTGACAAAAGATAGACCAATACACTCTGTTTCCCTTTGTGGCTCGAGGAGGAGGATCTGATCCATGTAAATGTATTGTATAGGCGTTCTCGCTTTTCTTGGCAATTACTCTACGAGCCATGGTTTCGTCCACCAATGCGGACTTTGACAGCGACGAAGATTTTGTGGTCATAAGGAGGCCGCTGCTTCTTGCCCAAGGTGCTCCAGCCTATCTCCCTACCACGGCCGACCCTAGAGGTGCCCACCCTGGCCTATGGAGCTCATCGATGAGGCAAAAGGTGAATTTGTTTTTAGCCTCAAGTACTTACTTATGCTGATTTCAGATGGGACTATGTGACCTAAGCAAGAGTGCACTATCGTTAAAGACAGTACCTGGTTGTAAGAAAAAAAACTGGTACAACCCCATAGAGAACTAGTCGCAAAATGTAAATGTATGCATTATGTCTGTACAACACTGTTCTCCCTAGCAATTTGAAGAATGTTTGGAACCATTAAGCAATCATGTATTTTGCTCTTTGGTCTCAGTTCTTCCAAGATTTTTTTTCTTGGGAATTCTATATCGACACCCACAGTTACTCATAAGTCATGACCCTCAGTTTCTTGATACCCTCTAGCCATGACGCTTTTCAACTTCTTTTTTTCTCTGCTATAATTATTTTTTACTCTACTACATGACTAGTGCTGGATTTAAAACATAACCTAATTGTAGCACACACCGTAGTTCAAGCATTTCTAGACGAATATCAGTTCATTTCATTCTCTGTAGGTTGGATCCTATGTTAGCTTAAGTTCTGACGAGTTATGAGGATGATTGACTAGCTGGTGGGCAGTAATATTTAAAGCCTGCAATTTTTAACTGAATCATATGTTGTTGAGTTGCAAAGACAAGCTAAATAGCTAATTGGCTGAAAGCTATTCTCATGCGGAGCATGTTGATTGCAAAAGTTAAGTAAACAAAACTTGGAGAAGCAAGTTATGAATTTGTAAGAGTTGTCTTGTTGTCTTGCTGCAGTTACTCATTATTGTTTCAGAGTATGAAAATCTTAGAATGCCTGACAATCATGTCATATAGCATGAAAGCCTATGACAATCTAACCTTGTGCCAAAATGACGAAAAAGGTGTGGCAAATTTATTATATGAACCAATCATGCCTTAGTTCGACATTGTAAATGTATTGACATCCCAACAGTCATGTGTTTCTTCTTGAAAACTAATTCATATTTTCTTCCTGTGTGCCCTCCAGTATGGATTGAACTCCACAAGCGACTACACCTACAACACACTGGATCAAAATGCAGTACCACCACAGTGAGAATCTGCGCGACTGATGACGAAGCACATATCATATATGCAGTACACAAGTCATATGTTGCAATATGCCATGGTGTAATGGGCACTGTATACATTTGTACGCCCAGTTATTCTGTGAATCTCGGTTGTACATAGTTCCATCATTACTAGTAAAGAACATATGTGTGAATGGCTGCCCTGGTTGGCTGGCTGCTATTTCTTCGAGATCCGCTTACTAGTGCTGAATCTGGAGCAAATCCACAACTCAGTCATTGTGACAGCCAGGAGATGGCCGTATGTAAAAAAATAGTCTATCTTGTTGGATGTCTTGGGTTGGCTGGTTTCTTCAATGTAGCCAAAGAGATGGATGAGCAAGAACGGCAGTATTTGCATTGGATGTGTATTAAGTTAGATATAGCAGTTAGTAAAAAAATGTAAGGTAATGTTAGTACAATTTTCATGTGGATGATGACATCATTAAAATGCTTTCTTGGGCCAAATATTACATTCCATACTAAATTAGTTTTGCTTGAAAGGAGAAAATGAAACTGCAAGCGCCGTTTGGTCACTGGCATCACCTTATGTAAGTGAAACAAACATCTGTAGTGTTGTTAAGTATGTGAAATTTAACCAAATAAGAACTTATGGAAGTGAAACAAACATCTGTAGTGTTGTTAAGTATGGGAAATTTAACCAAATATGAACAGGGTGGTCCCGTGCAAACTCCACCGTTCCATTAACATACATACACATCCACCATTCCATTAACATACATACACATCAATCGTTCTGCGCCTTAATAAGGATTTAATGCCGAGAAAATATTTCCCACCAGTCTTGTCTGCCCAGACGGCACACACTCTTTCCCGTGTAACCTGTATGGCAATTTGAGTATTTCACAAGCGTAGGGCAATCCTACACAAGCAAGCGCTGCAAACAAGGGAATGCAAGAGTGCAATCACATATGCTGTGTAGGTTCCCAAGACCACTTGGTCCTAGTCTAGCCGGGCAGATGAATCCGTAGTGGACGAAATGGTTCTTCCTCCAACATGGGGATGGAATCAACTCCAAAATTGAATCACACTCAACCAAATATCTTCTAGGCATGGGGAGATGCTTGATCCATGACATTATCCTGATGCTATTGCAGCCAGAGATCAGTAGCAGACGCAGTTTTGGAAAGCAAGCATGAGGCACCACCCCTTCCATACGACATCTTCCAACTCTCTCAATTTGAGTACCAATGGGAGCTCAGAAGGATGCCCTTAGGTCGATAGATGGAGAGGAGTTACCCAGATAAAGACCCTACCCTGTTTGAGTACCAATGGAATTCTAATTTGTATTCAGGACCTTATTGAAGAACGTATTCCCAACCCTGTTTTCTCATGAAAACACTAATTTCCCTAGCCAACAAACTAATTTCCAGTTCCAAAAAAATGTTTGGTATTTTCTTTTGGAAAACTTTGCACTCAGTGCAAAGAAAGACATCCATTGAGCCAAGCTCTTGGTAAAAATTATGGGGTCATGAGATCCATTTCCCTTTTATGATGTAATCAAACATCACTTGTCAATTTCCTTATTTTCTAATCTCATCGGATTAATGCGGACATGGCGTTTTTTTTCTTTTGCGGTGGAATGCGGACATGCATGTCTTTGCATCTTACAAACATGGCTAATAGAAAGAACGACGAGTTCATGGCCATTTTCCTTTTATATTTGCATCCAAATAAAGAACACATTATGCAAATGCCACATCATTCCTTCTTTTATTCACTTATTTCTCCACATTATCAGACAGCCCTTACAATGAATTTCTAGGTACTGCCCGGAGGTGGGGGTGTAGGTAGCGTTATAACAGGAACTGTGTAACCTGCACAGGAGATTTTCAATTTTCGCATCATAAGGATAATCATGAGCAATTATATGAGAAATAATAGCAAGTAGAAAACAGGCACACATATGTATATGTATAGAAATATGACGGTTACCGACCTGCACAGTGAGTGTGTGCACGCAGCCCATTGCCGCACACATGTGTAGCCATGGCAAACTTGGCTAGGCTGATCCTAGCCAGTTCGGGAGCTGTGAATTTATCACAGACGCAGTGGATGTCTGTTGCTGCCCTTATCACCTGGCAACATACGCTCCCATGTAGAAGGGGGTGCTCGCCAACATTCTTCCCAATGTTCCTCCAGCATTCCCTCATCACCTTACTTTTATCCGCGGCGCAGTGATCTGCTTGTGCACGATGTGGATATGAAGAGAAGGCCACAAAGACTAGGAAGCATAAAACTCCTATTGCCTTAGCACTGGTCATCTTCTTATGTGAAATGGTATTATCGGTATGTGTTTTATGCAATAATTCGGCAACACTTGGGTTCTATATATATTGGTTGCAAACTCGTTCGCTCTTTGGTCATTTAATTAACTGAATCCTCAAGATAACTTGGATATGTTGTTATTTAATGTAGGCACATCTAGTTCTTGTATCAAACTGCAGATAGAGTATACGTAGATGGGTGCAAGCTATTAAATGCTAGTGACTGATTTATGATAGATAGATAACAAGGATATGTTCTCCTTTAATGTAGGATATACTTAATTCTCATAAAGCATGAATATCAAATTGCTTGTGCAGGATATACGAAGGTGCATGGCTGCAAATTGATTTTCTAAGTATCCATTGGGATTTTAATTTCCAGTTACTACCAAGAAAGAATACCTTTTCATACTCACTCTAACCAAGGATATACTCAGGCCATTAAAAATGCATGACTTTTTTTTGTTGAAAATGCATGACATTATAGATATGAGTCCAATCTGCAAATGCAACATTATTTCATATGAATATGTTAAATAAAATATGAAATTATTTATGACAAATCTTGTAATATGATTTTCAAAGTGGATACTCTTTTAATTAGATGATTCATAGATGTATATGATACATATAGCGGGGTGCTGTCTTTGTCCAACCAGTTTTGATACTTCCGAAGTAGGATTAAGAGCGAAATATGCAAGCCATGTATTAATTAATTACAGGTAGACCGGTAGACTAAATAGGATGTTCTGAGTTATTGCTGGTAAAAATCTGCTGAAAACTATATTAATACATCGGCTCTTTAACGAAAAGTGTGTAATAGTCGCATATGATGGAAAATATTGGATAGAGTTGGATTAACATATATACCCGACATAGCACCTCTGGGTTATCCCTTCTACACATGCGAGTACAGACACGTAAGAGGTAGTGCTGTGATAAGCGTATCCTCTTAATATTCAATTCAGGAGGACGTTATAGGGAAACCGTTGGGAAGTTTGGCTTCATCTTGTGAGAAGATTGATGGATGTTCACCTATCTCAACAACCCGACCAGTTGCGCTGGAAACTAACTAAGAATGAAGAGTTTTCGGTTAAATCCATGTATTTGGATGTTATCAACGCTAGCACTATTCCTCGTTCGAAACATGTTTGAAAAGTCAAAGTGCCTTTAAAAAATCAAAGTGTTTTTGTGGTTTGTCCATAAACAAGTTATTCTAACTAAGAACAATTTGGCAAAACGCAAATGGACATGATCTACAAGATGTAGCTTCTGTGATAGTGATGAATCCATCAAACACCTCTTTCTTGACTGTCCATTGGCAAAAAATTTGTGGCGGTCGGTTCGCATAGCATTTAATATTACTCCTCTGAATACTATCAACACATTATTTGGGACGTGGCTAGATGGGATAGATCCAGAAATAGCGAGACATATCCGTGTAGGAGTATGCGCTTTATTATGGGCAGTTTGGAACTGCAGAAACGATTTGGTTTTTAACAGAACAACAAATATTCGTTTCTTGCAGGTTATTTTCCGGGCCACTACACTGATTCGTATGTGGTCGCTACTCACTCCGACGGAGGTCAGGGATCGTTTGATTACTGGATCTATCCGATGGGAGACGGTAGCACGGGCTATATTCAACCGGTTTTGATGTTGGTCATGTAATAGGATAGGTATTTAGTTTCCTATCTTAATTTTTGCCTGCTGGTTGTGACTATCCTGTTTTTTTCATGCTCTTTGTGAGCCTTTTTTTCGTTTTTGAGACCTGAAGACTTTTGTTGGACCTTTTGCTTATCAATAATATGGTCGTATGCATCGTTCTGATGCAGAGGCCGGGGGCTAACCCCTTTTTGAAAAAAAATCATTTGGATGGTGACATCATTAAAACATTTTCTTGGGCCAAATATTACATTCCATACTTCATTTGTTTTGCTTGAAATGACAAAATGAAACGGCGAGCCCCGTTTGTCACTGGTATCACCTTACGGAAGTGAAACAAACATTTGTAGTGTTGTTAAATATGGGAAACTAAACTAAATATAAACATGGTGATTTATACATGTAAACTCTACCATTCCATTAACGTACATACGCATCAATCATTGTCTGCCTTAATAAGGATTTAATGCTGAGGAAATATCATGGAAATCTCCATGATCCCACCAATCTTGTCTACCCAGTATCACCGGCACACACTCTTCCTTGTGTAACCCGGATGGCAATTTGACAAGCCTAGGGCAATCGTACATGTGGAAGGGCTGTGCAACCGCAATACATTAATCAATGCACCAGGCACGTATATATGAGTTACAGAGGGGGCCACAACCTCGACTATACAAAGGAAATAGGAGATGGACCCAATACACAATATATACGTACACCAATATACTCAACATCCTCCCGCAGTCGAAGCGGCGCCAGTGACGTAGGAACTGGAATGAAACTCCTCGAAGGTGGAAGTTGGCAGTCCCTTCCTCATCACATCGGTGAACTGTTGTGCAGTCGGAACATGGAGGACCCGAATACGTCCAAGAGCCACCTGCTCGCGCACAAAGTGAATGTCCAGCTCAATGTGCTTAGTCCGGCGATGATGAATGGGGTTGGCGGAGAGGGACACCGCAGAGACGTTGTTGCAGTAGACAACCGTAGCCTGAGAGACATCGTGATGCAACTCATGAAGTAACTATCGTAGCCAG